AAGTGTGCATAGAACCCTATAATAATTAGGCACCGATATAGGAAATATTGGTAATTGACAATTAGAAAATTAATTTAAATTCAATTTTATTTATTATAATATTTTACAAGGACGCATTAAAAAATTGAAAAATCTAAATTACGCCATTTTTGATAGAATATCTTCTAGTATCCATGAAGTATTCACAATCTACCAATTCTAATTCGTTTAACTGAGGGTGTTCTTTAAATTTGAAAAATCCGATTTAACCAGAAATGTATTCCAATATTTGTGATTCAGACTGTGAATCTCAGACACAATTGCAGCAAACTTTTAATGTATTCTTAATTTATATTAATTTTTCTTATAGATTTATTCATAATAGGCTTGTCCAAAACATCAAAAAAATTAAATTCACAAACTTTCGAAACTTTAATGAAAATAAAAGCTATTTAAATATAAAAATAAAAACATGTTCAAAACATAATTCTATAAATTTTTTTATAAGTTTTAAACATTTTACATTCCGATTTCATCAAAATTTTAAAATTTGAGAAAGTTTTGAAACTTTTCGATTTTTTTAAAAATGATATGGCACATTAAAAACAAACGGTAAAATTGTTCGGAATTTATAGGATAGGTATTCTATACATTGCTAGAATATATTTTTTGTCAAGATAGTTTTAAAATTTATAACTTCAGAATGGTATAAGATCAAGAAATTTTAAATTCCCATGGATTCCATTTTCTTATCCCAAACACGACATACTTATAAATAAATTTTTTTAAAAAAATTATAATCCAATCAAAATTATTGTATATTTTATTTTGGTCTCAATACCCATAAACACTTGCAAAGGGAATTTTATTTTAACATTTAGGAGAAAAAAAATCTTTCTTAGAAGTAATATTAAATTGAATTGGTAATGTATCGAAAAGATCCTCTCCGTCTAATTTTTAGGGCGAAATGCTTCCTATAGAGGCTATCGAATGATGGGGTGCATTCCAGGGACTCAACTTAGATGTCCCAAAGAATATTATATGTCAGACGAGACATGCCAAGGTCCCGTCCCTTTCAATTATTACATTCTATATTCTAAGCATAATTTTATTCTAAAGTTATCAGTTTTTCAGGCATTAAGATCGAAATTAGAGGATTGCAGGCATGTCTATCACAATCCTGAGCAATATATTATTTGAAGAATAAAAATCAGGGCCTGGCCTAAAAATAGAATATGAACCTGAGCTCCCCAAGTTGTTTTCTTTTACATTTAAAAACTGATATGAGCCGAGTTTGAAATAGTTCTTAGGATGTTTTTAAAGTATTAGTTAGATGAATCTAAAATTTAATTATCCGAATTAGAAAGATTTATAATGCGTCGTCAAACAATTTTATTTTATACAATCTTTTCAACATTCTCCGACCCATCTTACCGACTAAATTTATTTATTCTTTTTTTTAACATAAAGAACATTAATTAGATTTAGATCAGTTTACTTGTTGGATGTTGAATTTTAATTTTTATAACTTTTAATAAATTGTATGATACGGTTTTAGAGTTAATAAATAATAAACTATATCTTAAAAGTATTTTTTTTTATCTTTCGAACAATAAATTATAATTTTTTCTTAAAATAGTGTTTAAAAATAATATTTTAATCACAAGGGGGGAATAAATTAAAGGAAAAATAGAAATTGTATAACATTGAATGATTAATTTTCTTATAAAGGACATTATTAAACTTTTTATTTTTCAATTTAAAAAAATATTTTTTTCATGTGCGCATATGATTTAATGGGATATAATTAAGATTACATTCATACCCCCTTCCCCTCTTCATATTTGCGATATTAGTATAAATATCTGCAATCCACCTACTAATTTAGAAAATTTAAATTTTACAATTAGCAATTAAAATAGATTAATAGATATTGTGCTTTAGGCACCTTGAAAGAATGCAGCTTGGTTAAGTTGGAATGGATAAAAAAAACGAAATGAGGGAAAGAGAAATCCTTTAAGAAATCGGATTGGATAAAGTGTTACCCCGAGTTTATAGTTAACGCGAATTAATTATCGACAATGAAGAGTAATCTAGGTTTTAGAAAAGAAGCTTCAGCTCATCCTGAAATGGCTCTAGGTGATAAGAAAATTTAATAAGGAAAGAATAATATTATAATTGTGAATATACAAACAATATCCCCTTCCCCCATCATTATCGTTTAATTTATCCTCATCAAATATTAATCAAAAACTATATCATTTTTTCCCAAATTTTAAAATTAAAGACGAGTAACAGAAAATGAACGAACATTAATCAATAATAATTTAATGACAAACAAAAAGGCTTCATCCTAATTAATAGTTCAGTTACAGTTAGGTATTAAAGAATTTTTTTTATATAATATATATAAAGGCATAATAATAAAAATTAATATTTAAATGCTAAGATCATAGCTTAACTAATAATGCTTGGATCAGTCTTTTGGCTTCAAAAAAATATAATAAATCTTATATATAAACGTAATTTTTAAACAATTTATTAATAATGAGGTGAAACTAATTCTATATGAAGGAAATAAATTTGGATGCATCATACCGGATTACACACTCCCCCAGGCCTCTATAATATAAATGTGTAGAGGAGCAGATCACCCCAACCCTCCTTCCAGTTTATGTAAACCCTGATAAATTCCTATAATCGTTAAATATAATATATTATGCTTTTATGGCCGAGTTATAAGAATCTTTGTTGCCATATGAAGGAAACCATAAGTTCGAATTCCTTGCAAAAATAAATTCTAGTTATTTTGTAAATTAAAAAATTATAAACCAGTACTAATGGCAATCGACTAATCAAACAAACTTTGAAGGACATGCCTGGTGGCAAGGCAAGATGAAAAGATTCAAATATTTTAAAAAATAGAAAATTTAATAGTATATTATTATCAAAAATTTTATGATCCTTATATTGATGGTTTACTCAATTAATATGGAATATAGATCTTATTTTTTTTATTTAAATAATTTATCTGTTTCCTTAATTACCACCCTAATATAAATTTTAATATTTCCGTTATTATGGCACAATCCATTAATTAACTATCTTATATAAATGTTAATTTTCAGTTTAATTATGGCACAATGTCTTTATTGATTAAAATCAGAAATAATATAGTCCTGTCATTTTCAAGTAATTTTAAAATTAATTCCTAAAAAATTGTTAAGAGTCCATAATTAATGACTTTAATTTAATATTCATTTTAAATAAATTTAATCTATTATTTGTTTTACAAGTTTAAAAAAAATGGTAGAAAAAACGTTAAAATAGATAACAAAATTTCAGGGTGGTAATAAAATTTTTTATTTGACGCATCGGATATCTGAAACGATATATTCCACTTAAGAATAAGAGAAATGAAGAAAAAAAAATTGATTGTAATAAATTATCATTATATTATGATGGGTTGGTTTAAGATTGCCAAAATAATATTATGACCTCTATTTACCAAATATCGAAGCTTACTTATTTTGACTAACATCTTAATTGGGTCGTTTTTAAAAATTGACCCAAATTATTTTTAACGTCACAATTGTAGAGGTCCAATCGTTTTCCTATTCGGGCCGGGCTATTTGTTTAAAATATATTTCGGAATGTGCCTTATTAAAAAAAGCCGGTCGGATGTCCGGTCAAATTTTTTTAAAATATTCTCTAGAACATATTAAAATATTATAAAAATCATTTATATTTGGCACGAAATAATTCACGCAAAATTTTATCATTCACTGGATCATTAAGAAATAAAAGTGTCTTTTTTCAAAAATGGGCGGAACATGGCGGTTATTATAAATTTGTCATATATTTAATAATATTTTTTTTTTATAAGAAAATATAGGAAATGTACCGATATTGAAGTAATTCTGATATTCTTCGATAGAAAAAATGTAACATAAACGTGCAAATGAAGAGGGTTTAGTAATTAAAATATATATTTTATTTAAATATTTTCACGTTATAAAAAATAAAATTTGGGTAATTTTAAAATTTTAAATTATATAGATAATAATTGTAAAATTTTTTTAAAAAAGATTAGATTATTAAATGGTTCATATTTAAATACTTTGTTACTTATATTAATCCTTTAAAAACAAGAATTCAAGAGAAATATTTAGTATAATAAAAGCTCTCAATATTGACCAAAAATATTAATTAGTATTTATATCATTAAACACTCTAACAGTCACTTTTTTGACTGATTTAAAAACATCGATTTAATATAATGTAATATACCTATTAAGATTGTTAAACTCAAATATTCCACCCTTTTTAAAACAAGAAATCAAGAGTAACATTTAGTATAATAAAACTTTTAATATTGAATAAGAAATATTAATTATAATAAAAATTGAAAGAAAATACGATCGTTTCGGCATAATGCCAGAGTTAATGAGTTTTGAATTTATTAATTTTCATCATAGAAATCTTGAATAAGAAAAATAAGTAAAAGTAACATAACTAAACTACATATAAATCTTTACCATTTATATTTTAAAATATTATAAATTATGTTATACGAATCATTTAAAATTAATAAAATTTAAAAAAACAACAGTTATAAATCGGTTTAAAGCCGTTATAAGCATTTACAGGGCTTAAGTTCTTTTTAAGATTTTATTATTACTGGTTGGAAAATGATAACGGTTCATTATGGTTTGACAATTTATACCCAACTCCTTAGTCTGTAACAAATTAATGCCTGATTTTTTTATAAATAAAATTTAACATTAAAAAAAACCTAAAATAAAAATGTACAAAAAATCTGGAATTTTTTTAAAAAGAATTCATAAATATAATATAAGATCATTTTCACGGTTGATATCAATTAGAAATCTGGGATGATCCTATAGACTTAATCCCTACAGAATCTAAAGATATTCTTATATTAAACTATATATGTCTCATATTTAATGAGACGATTAAAGCCCTCGAGAATATTATTTTCAGATAAATAAATATTTTACCTATAACGGCCAAATTGAGGAAGAAAAAGTTCATCCGCGTCTTTCTATTCTGGTATGCGCATATGAAATATATAACGCCTAAATTGGCTATTATTATCATGAAAAATAGGACGAAGAGGAATGCGAACTGTTGCGTCTACATAAAAACGAAAAAAAATAGAATAATTTTTTAAAAATGAACTATATTATTATAATGTAATATGGGTAATTCAGAGATATGCGTCATTAATCCAGGTTCTTGTCATAAAAAAATATAATTATTTCACATGTAGAGAGCGTTCTTTAATTTCTGAACACCAGATTTTGGTAAATGGTATTCCAGCTTGTTTTGAGTACCTAACCCTCTGGATTTCAGACAATTGCTTATTGAATTGTTTCCTTTAATTCATTTAGCACGTTGATGTAATCCTGATGAGATCTCACATGAATTATGCAAGGCCCCACCTCGCATAATAGTGCTTGTTTTTTTGGACGGAAACCGACAAAACATTGCCAGTAGTATTGTAAAAAAATCCGATTTGGGTCCATTTTTAAAAAGCCCGATTCAGATTTTTATGAAATAGTATGAAAGTCCCGAAATTTGGTAGAGGTCCAGACTTTTCTGCATATTAGCAAAACATAATATTATTTTGGCTAAAATCATAATAGGGCAATTTTTAAAAATAGGACCCAATTCTGGTTTTAACAACACTATTTCTCAGATATGAATAATAAGAGGGATGGCATCAAAGATACCTTTTTAGTTGTTTAATTATAATACATAAATTTTATTTAATTTAATATTATATATAAAAGTAGCAAAAATATAAAAGCTTATCTGTTATTAAAATATCTAGAAATGACATAAGGTTTGTTTTTTATTTTTCGATCACATTTATAATTCTTTAAAAATATATTGTCTGACCTAAAGCTAAAAAAACATGTTTAAAAATATATTGTCTGACCTAAAGCTAAAAAAACATGTTTAAAATATTCCTGTTTGCTTCCATTTTAAAAGGCAGACGATTCTTCTGGTTTTTATTTTCAATGTCATAATCATGTTATTAAATTAAAATAAATCTTCAAACTTTTCCAGGTTTATAAAGTCATATGGTTTTAAACTCCTCCCTTTTCTTAAATTTATATGGGTGAAATATACTGTTCACAGGTGCATGTATATTTTATAAAGGCTGTAACAAGATACCTACAAAATGGAGCCTTTCTAAAATTATAAAAGCATTAAAGTTATGAAAGTTTGCTTTAAAAAAAACTATGATTTATTAAACTCCTTAACGATAGATGTACACTTAAACTCTATTTTTAAATTTAGAGCTTTAAAATAGTTAAAAATATATAGCAGTGGCGTTGCACTTGCGTAGAAAATAAATAGTTTATTTATCTTCGCCAGACCTGGATTAACTAGCAGCCGGCACAAGGCCAAGTCCGATTTAGGTTCAGACCAAAAAATATAAAAAGGGAGATCGAATTCATTTCCTATGAGACAGGGCCAGGACCTCTGGGTTAAAAACTTTAAATGTATATTTTTTTAATGGGCTAGACTTGCTTAAAATTTGCTTTTCCCGATCTTATAGATAAATATTGGATCTAAATTGGCAAGAAAGCTCTGTTTCTTTGGATAAAATAGAAAATTAAAAAATAATTGACTAATTGAAATGTGAAGAAATAAATTATTTAAAATTCAGTGGTGTCACTAGATTTTTTCAATGGGTGCTCATAGTCTAGAAAAATTTACCAACCACCATTTAATAATTTTTTAAATTTTATATTCGGAAAAATTTTAACAGGCTCGAATCCTAATACACCTTCTCTAGTGATGTCACTGTCCAAAATAATGCCTTCAAAAGTATTATTGGTGCTGTAATAGCAATTATTATTAATTATATTAATACTAGCTAATAACCCGTCAAGAATGACGGGGTTGAGGGGTAATTATTTAGTTTGTGTATATGGTATTAAATATGCTTTATATTAAAATTTAAGAGAAAAAGTGGTAAAATTGTTGCAATGTAACCCGTGAGCAGGGTATTAGAAATATCAAAATTTAAATTTGTGATGGAATCATATTGGGTAAAATTAAAAATAGAGATTCTTCAAAATTTTTGAATTTTAAATATGGGCTAGACATTGGTCTCAAATTTTGTTTTTAGACACAGCTAATAATCAAAAAACCACGTCCCATGCAACTTTCCCAAAATTTTGCCATTTATTTCTATTGTAATTTAATAATAACGTCTTAATTTTATATTTAGAATAAAATTTAAATTTGTGATAGAAATCATATTGAATAAAATTTAAAATAGAAATGCTTGGAAATTTTTGAATTTTAAATATGGGGTAGACATTGGCCTGAAATTTTTTTTGCAGACATAGCCAGGCCTGATCAAAAAACCAAGTTCCAAGCACCTTTCATAAAATTTTGCCATTTATTTCTACTATAATTTAATAACAATATCTAAATTTAATTTTATATTTAGAATTAAATTTAAATTTGTGATTGAAATTATACTGGGTAAAATTTAAAATAGATATGCTTGAAAATTTTTTAATTTTAAATATGGACCAGACAATGGCCTGAATTTTTTTTTCTCAAACCTGGCCAGCCCATAATAATTTTGTAATTTTTTCCCAAGCCTCCAGATATGTAAATCTCTGAAAACCTTATTGTTGGGAAAATTTTCTCAAGCCCGCCAAAGACCATAATAATTTTGTTAGTTGAGAACTGAAATAAAATATATAAAAGTCATAATTCATTTAAAGATAAAATCAGAATATGAAAGTAGCATGAGCTTGGTTTTTAATCAAACCTGGCGATTTCTGCAAAAAAAAATTTTCAGGCCAATGTCTAGCCCATATTTAAAATTAAAAAATTTTCAAGCATTTCTATTTTATATTTACACAATATGATTTCTATCACAAATCTAAATTTTATTCTAAATATAAAATAAATTTAAGACTCAATAAAAATAAATGGCAAAATTTTATTAAAGTTGCATGGGACTTAGTTTTTTGATCAGGCTTGGCTTTGTCTGCAAAAAAAAATTTCAGGCCAATGTATAACCCATATTTAAAATTCAAAAATCTTAAAGCATCTCTATTTTAAATTTTAGCCAATATGATTTCCATCACAAATTTAAATTAAGATATTTCTAATACACGCTCACGGTATACATTGCAACAATTTTACCTCTTTTTCTCCTAAATTTTAATATTTATATAAAATTTATTAATAAAGTATATTTAGTACCATACACACAAACTAAATAATTACCCTTCAATCCAGTCAGCTAGTATGGTAATAAACGGCAGAATTTTAAAAATATCAGCTATTAATTAATATATATAATTAATATTTTAATTAACTATATTCAAGTTGGTGAATGCTTGAAACATGCAACTTTGAAACGGGAGGTTTGTGGTTCGAATCTCGTAGAGATCAAAAAAGATAACATTAAATTATATAGTCTCCTTAAATTTTAAATACATTAGGAAGATAAAAAAACTATCATGTTTTGATTATGGAGATTATATATATTAGATATATGGGGATGTAAATAAAACATAAAAAGTCAAAACAAACATTAAAGAAAACGTTATATGAAAGTTAGACCTTTAATAAAACACTTTTAACTAATTAAGCAAATTATAAAAAGATTGTGATAATAAATAATTTCCAACAAAATATTGATATATTATATTTTCCACAAGGATTATAAAGTAGAAAAAAATTAAAAGAAGTTTTGTCATCCTTAATTATATATCTTTTAAGGGCAATTTAAAATATAACTTTATTGCTGGAAATTTTTTATTCTTATAATTTGAGCCGGGTATTTTTAAATTTATACCACGAATCGGGATAGTCTCTAAAATCTATATTTTCATGGGCCTAGACCTGGAAAATTATTTTCATAGAGAATTCTAGTCTAGTCCTTAAATGACGCTTACTTATATTTTTAAGCTTGGTAGGTAGTGTTGTTAAAAGTTTGGGTCCATTTTTAAAAACATAACATTTGCAAAAAAAAATATTATTTAAGCCTTAAAAATTGGTAAATAAAAGTCCAAACATTTCTGCCACCTATGAGCAAAATCTCTACATGATATTATTTTAGCCAAAATCTTATTCGGGCCTTTTTTAAATTAACAACACTATCGGTAGGTGTGCTAAAATAATTTTACGAATAATCTTTAATGAAAAATATTTTTAATTTTATGAATTGAGGGTTATACATAATTATTCCTTTTTGTTGATTTTGCTCAGAGATGGTATAAAGGGTTGGACATGTATTAGCGAAATCTCGAGGCTTAGGAAATATTTTTCTGCTGGCTAAAATATTGAGTTATCCGTCTTTAAAAATCGGCTCAAATCGAGCGGTTGCAACACTATCAACTGGAAATAATTTTTTATATTTATTACATATCAACCCATATTATATTATTATGTTCGTTGAATTCAATAAAAAAATTTATTATACAAAATGATATTTTTTTTAAACAAACATAATTTATATTATATATTTAAATTTATTCAAAAAAAATTCACATTATTGATTTATATGTGGAATAAAATTGACCTAAAAAAATAGGGAAAATTAGCAGTATTGACATCTCATTCTGGTAAAATTAGCATTTATTCTGACGAATAATAGAAATTAATTAATTATGTTTTATTATTTTAACAAAGTATTAAAAAATATGTGTGTGTCATATTCGTATTGGGATATGAAATACATGGCAGATCCCTTCGATTTTAAATCACTTAGACGATTATGAATCTTGTTTAAGCGGAAATAAATATAAACTTTTGTGTCTTAATTTATATAAAAAATCTATATAGATTTAATATAGATTAAAAGTAGTCCAAAAAGTTCATGGTTGTTATAAAAAATAATATTCACCAGGATTATGTGACAGAAATTAATATTGATTTTATTTTATTACTTTCTATAATCAGATCTGCATCCCCTGTCTAGGCTTTTTATTTTAAGTCCGCAAATTTTTATAATTTTGCCATTTTAATTGTCAAAAGAAAATTAAAAATATGAGCACAAACAAATCTTAAATGATCATTATATGAATTTCCAACTAGATAGATATAATTTAATCTCGGGGATTGATTTTTAATATTATGTCGAATATCGT